TTCTGCCTAGTCCGCCATCTTGGTCTTATTGAGATGAAATTTTTATGCATTTTTTTAAAGCAGATCTTTAACCCCCTGAAGATAAGGAGTTATGATGAGAACACTGCTAGGCTTTGTCGCAGTGTAACTAAGTAGTGCTAAAATGCTGTCTTGTCTGTCTGTATTTTTTTTAGTGTTTTTAATGCTAATAGACTTGCTTTAGCTATATGGGTATCATTAGATTTGCTTTTCAATTCTTTGCTAGAAAGTTGCAGCTCATTTAAAATAGCTGGTAGATACAGAAAGCATAAATATACAGTAAGTTTAAACACTGTACTAAATGTAACAATATAAAGAAGCAAAACAGAACACAAATTGTAACACAGTAAAACTGTATTACATTTGTACTTCAAATACCACAATACATTATATACAATAATCCCAAATAAACTTCTCATGCCAAGTGACACAAAAACAAATAGAAAGCAAAAAAAAAAAAAAAAAAAAATCCAGCAATTTGTGCATTACATTTTTCTTTCATGATAAACATTCAGCTCTGAACAGGGGCAATTTCACTACCTACAGATGCAGCTCGCCTTTTATTCCATCTTGCCATCCTGTTTTCCGACATCATGCTGTTCAGTAGGTTCCTGTGTCAATTCTTACGTACATGTGGAGCAAAAAAGAAACGAACGTGGGGCTCTGTGTTCTTCCTGGGGTGATGTTGGCAGATCAGTGACGCTGGGGTGCATCGCCTTCTCTCATTAAACCTTCCTCATCGTCTGTCTGACAAAGGATCATGTCACTCTTCAGGAAAAATTGTGCTCAGAGAATGTCTGATTACAAGGCTGACATGCAAAGCAGTCCCGGTGGTACACACTCTCCTTGGCACACATCGCCATCTCACAGGCCGGCCTGGGCTTACTCCAGACAGCAGTTTCCCATCCCAGCTCAGAGCCTCGGACCGTCTCTGCGGCCAAGGACCAGATGAGCCTTAGAGTACGGGGTGGGGCCTACTCTCCCACTCCCAAACGGCAGTCAGAGCAGGCCCACTCCCACAGTCTCGTGACAGACTGTTCCTGGCTGTGGTCTGGTGGGGTGCTGGGGGTCGGAGAAGGCTGCAAGGTACTTCCCTTATCAAGTGTGGTCACTGCTTCTCTGCTCTGGGCCCTCTTGGTTGAGGAAAGGTTTTGTGGGAGCATGCCCCTGCCGGGTGGTGGGGGAAACCTGGGTCAGGAGCTCGGGGCCACGGGCGGAGCAGGGAGGCTGCCGACGGAAGGTGGGGGTTCAGCTTCTCCCAGAGGGGGAGGGGCCTCAGAGGAAGGGCCTGCCACCGGTCCCACGGTCGGCCACGTTACCCTGTGCAGCACGGTCCTGCTCCCACCCGTGGGGTCGCCGCGAGCCGGAGCCATCTCGGTGGCAAGTGGAAGGGACAGGAAAGGTGGTTGTGAGCACCGGGCTGCCTTTCTTCTCCCAAGTGCTGCCACAGCCAGCGCCGGTTCTTCCAGCAACGCTACACACACCTGTGAGAGGAGCCAAGAACACACAGTCAGGACAGGTCGGGGGCGGATCACAGCCCAGCAAACGCACGCTGAGAGCAGTGTGCGAGGACGGCTCCGCTCCCGTCTCCCGATCCCTTCACTTGGAGGCTCTTCCACAGAGCACTTAGGTATCCCCATTGCACGATAACGAAACTCAGGTCCTCGGGGTTTACTGTTGGTTCTGAGAGGCGGGGCGTTAGGAGCTAGCACGAGGACACTGGAGGGAGCCCGTGCTCCTTTTATTTCCCGTTGTAGGTGGGTCTTGAATGAATTGTGTGTGTGTATGTGTGTGATTGCTGGCAGAAAGTGTTTGGTAGTTGAATGCTCCTTCAACAGATAAGACATTGGTACTTTGAGTAACCGCTGTTCCATTGTGCAATCACTTACCGACAATTCTTTGCAGATATACCCTGGGGTGTGCAGTTAGCTGCTGTCTATGCCCTCTGTGACTTGAGTCCCAGCAATCCAACGGAAATAGCCAAGATCCTGGAAGCCTGGCGGAAGGAGACGGTGCAGAGTGTGCCGGCCGCCGTGGTCAGCTCCCTGGAGGAAGCCGGTGCGCTGTGCACAGAGGAGTGCAGCTAGGCCCCGGGCTGTCGCTGTGTCCAGAGAAGTGCCTTCACGCTATCTCAGTGCTTACCTGCACGAGGCCCTCAGAGGACAGCTGCGGGCACTCGGGAGCAAAGCGGAGGTTTGAGAGAGGAAGGCATGAGAGACAACCACAAGGCTGTCCTCGTGGTGGGCAGGGAGACGGAGAGACGGCAGTCTCCTGTCTGCGGGTCCCTGCCACGCACCTCGCACGGGGGCTGTCAGCATTCCTCAACACAGCTCCAAATGCTGGGCGTGGTCAGATGGTGGAAACTTGAAGTTAGCCCTTTTTTGCTGCAGAATGTGTCCTTTTAGTGGCTTTTTAACATTGAGTGGCATTTTATAACAAAGGCAGAGTCATCTAATGTTAAGATTCAGCTCCCAGACAGTGGCGGGCCCTGCAATCCCGTGATTGATTACGGCACCCGCCAGAGAACAGGCAGACGCATCCTCTCCCGCCGTCCCCAGTAGTGGCTCCCAACGCCGTCCCAGTGCACTGGCGGTGAATAGAGGAGGCTCGGAGGCCAGCGGCAGAAGCCCCAAGTGCCTCTCCTCCCTCTGACGCCGAGAGAATGACCCTGTGGAGGCCGCGACCCTGCAGGTCTCTGTCGCTGGGTGTGTAGGAGACGCAGAGGCGGCCTGCGCAGTCTGTGTGCACATACACGACGGGGCTGTGTTGTGCTTCCCATTGGTTGATGCTCCTTGGGGAATTTTAGTATTTGTACATAGAAGTGGGTTTAATAACTCACCATGGCCCTGATTTGTCCTGCGGTCATTACATCTTCAAAAGCTCGTGGTTTTTTATAATAAAAAGATAAAAGTAAATCCTGCACATGACTTCTGATCAGTAGCGTGTCACTCCACGTGGTGTGGGCTCCATCGCGGCCAAGGAGCTGGGTGCCAGACAAAGGTCCCATGTCACCATGGTAAACCGCTTTCCCTCTGTAAGCCTGGCGGAGCTGCTAAGGGGCTAGCCCTCCCGCTGGACTTGGTGTTGACTTACGGCCGCTGACCTGTAACAGTCACATTTGGTAACCGGGCTGCTGCCCCCTCACCATGGCCATAGGAACCGTAACTCAGCGTGGCTGCCCCTCCCCGTGCTCGCAGGATAACCGTCTGTGCTGCCCCGCCTCTGGTCACGGGAACCCTAACCAACATATTTACAACAATTCTGTGTTCCCCTTGTGGAAGCTGCTTGGTATATTTATCCATTCAACAAACGTTTGTTGAGCGTCTGCCCTGTGCTGGGGGTGGGAACAGTGGGAGCCGGTGTTACAGTGGTGAACAGAGCTCCAGGAGCCGGCTTCGGGATGTGTTCTTTGTTTGATCCCAAATGGAAGGTCACCATAATGCAGCCATGATGAGTCTGTCTCTGTTGGTCAGGGAGAGTCTGAGGCGCTAAGCCCTCAGCAAGGCCCTGAAGGGGAGGCTGCCGGGGAGGGTGTTCCTCCCTCCAGGAAGGTCAGGGTGGCTCCGAGGGAAGTCCCTGGGGAGCTGGGCAGGGTCTGCGCCAGGAGGTGGTCCTGGGCTGCCTGGGCCCGTTAGCACTGAGGGCAGCTGGGAGGATCCACCAGGGGGCGGGGCAGAGCTGTGGCGGGGCACTGAAGTTCCCATGCTGTTGTGTGGCCCAGAGGTCAGGGAAGGACGGGAAATGGGCAGAGAGCTGGTGCCGGGAGGTGACGCGTTAGGCCCGGGCGAGTGGTCAGGGTGGGCCGTGCACAGTGAGGACCAGAGGGTTCATCGCAGACGTGCGGTCAGTGCTGCTTTCCTGAAGGTGGGGGGCAGGGAGGGCTCCAGGGGCACCTGCTGGGGCAGGTGTGCGAGTTTGGGACATCAGAACTGTGAGGCACTTGTGAGACAACTCCATGGAGGTGTCAGGTCAGTCTGACGTCTGAAGGAGAGCTGGGAGGACGTGTGTGTGTGTGTGATCACCCGTGGGAATGTTCCCCATCACTCCAGTAGGGTGATATGTGCAGGAGACGCGAACCTAGGGCAGGCCAGGGGCTTCCAGGACCTCTGTGATGTGTCCTCACTGAGCTCGGGAGGCTGAGTGGTGGCTTCCACACAGCCTGAGGCCACCACCAGGCAACGGGGAGGTGAGCAGAGGCACCAGGATCCCAGGTCCCACAGGGACGGCGACATCGCCAATGTGGTCCTGTGGGCACCGGCTCGAGTGATGGGAGGAACTGCAGGGCTGCACACCCGGCCTGGGAGGGCCTGTATCTCAGGGTTCAGAGTTCTGACCTCGGCAGTCTTCTCAGTGGTGGCTGTCAGTGTATTTCCTTCGTGTCTAAGCCCCAGGCTGGGCATCAGTTGGCATCCTTCACACTGGCACCGGGGGTGACCATGTTCTCTGCATGTCGTGACCTGAGCGGCGGCCTGACGTTGACCCTGGTGCAGGGTTCACCTCGGAGAGTGCAACAGCTTCTGGCTGTTACTAAGCCCAGTTTCTGGTACTGGGAACATCGTAGGGTTTTGTCCCGTGAGACGCACATGAGCAGCCTGAACGTGCACTTGGATGGCCCCGTGTGCCCCTGCTCGAGCCGGGCCATCCAGCTTGCAGCCGGAGGAAGGCCCAGCCCCCGTGGGGCAGTGATCCTGCGGTGCTGGGAGCCCCAGGCACACGTGGGTGGGGGGTGGCCGGAGAGGAGGGCGGGAACCCAGTGGCCACAGTGGCCTCCCATCACCTGTGCTTCAGCACCTCCTCCCGGTGCCGTGGGGCGCCCGGCTCTTCCTTCCCACACGCTAGTGCTTTTCCTCGGAGTCCTGCGTCACGTGGCTCCTTGTGTGTTTTACGAGCAGACGTCACAGCGTAACTTGGCAAATCCAATTTTAAACCAATGAGAAGCTCAGTATAATACTTGGAGAGGGATTACTGCCTCGTGGCCACGAGAGGGTGCTTCAGGCCCACACACAGCGCATGGACCAGGAAGACACCTTGGGTACCCCACTGCTCCTTCGAAGTGAGCATGTTCCATTCAGACCTGGGTTTTTGGAGTTAGTTACTGCCTCTAGAAGTAAGTGGGGAAAGTGTGTGGAAAGGATGACTATGAAATTAATGACAGTTGAGGGCATATTTCCTTAAGAAACAAGCCCATGTTTTACCTGTTTGGACATGATGTTCTCCTGCATTTTCTTGTGGCCTTAAGTGAAATGCTTTGACAGGTGGGTGACAGGTGGGTGGTGGGCCCAGAGAGTGGGAGGGGAGGCTCTCCCAGCTCACCTGATGAGCCCGGCAGGTATCAGTGGGTTCAGCAGGCATCCTGCCCACATTTCACACTCAGTTCTTCTCCCCTCGGGCCCATGCTCTCACGTGGGACAAAGAGCTGTTGTGTGAATAGAGCTCAGTGTGCAGCTGGTCCACCCACCTGGTGACGACTGAAGGTGCTCCAGGGCTTCAGTGAGAGGCGCTCCGGAAGTTCAGGGGCAGAGCCTCAAGATAAATCAGCCCTTTATGGAAAGAATTTCCTCTCCTTCCCTTCCCTGATCTTCCCCAAAGACACACCGTGCACTTGACTCCAAGGCTGCCCCTTCTGCAGGCAGTAAGAAGCTGAAGGAATCCCTGCCTTGTTAGCATGGCATTCTTGTCAGT